GAATAATAGATTCTATTAAAATATTGTTTGTTTTAGGCATCCTCACACTTTTGAAAAAGGAGTTACTATAGACCGATTCGGTGTGACGTCACGAGTTGGAGTCACCCAAGGTCTATATAAATAATTATATAGACCTTGGGAGTCCCCATTCCAGGTGAAAAAAAAAACGTTGCTCGCAAATACCTCGCTATCAGCGTGAGAGAAAATGTTGTATGAATACTGCAATTCTTAAAAAACGAAGCGAAAAAGCGATATAAAACAAAACTAGAAGTTGTGCAGCTAAGTGTCCATACCGTCTGCCTGCCAAAATTTGGATAGACAATCCGTCGAAGGGGCCTTATATTGAATATCCCAACATCTACGATTATTTCACCAAAACACCACTTCACCAATACACCACGTAATAATAATTTTATGTTAATATAATTTGCTACAGTAATCTTAGATTTTAGCTATATAGGGTATTTTCTATGAATTCAGTGCCATTTCCTGTCATCACTTTTCTTTCCATTCACTAGGTGTTTGTACAAAGGAGACAATAAAGTCATGTAAAGGCCTACAAATGCACATATAATTCTCTTTCCTCACAATTTTGACCTAAAGAGATAGGCCCTCTTCAGTTGTTTCATCTGCTGAACCATGCTTGAAGATACTTGGGATAAAGTCTGGGTGACTTGGATCCGGGGGTGGTTTGCCTGTAAATTAAGATTGTGATAAATCAATTTATTACAAAAGAAGTAAAATTGCTGGTTATTTTTAGTGTATATGACTGCTGCCAAAACCTAATGTCGATAACGTTGACCTTGTTTGGCCCTGGCAGATAGTGTAGATAGAGTTTGAAAGTGATTATCTGTCTCTGGGATTTGAAAAGATGTAAAATGTTAATATGTAGATTAACAAAATGTTCTGAGCAAATGTTAACATTCTACCTGGCGCCCCAACACTCCCATCAGCGTTCATCGCTTCCATTTTTCAGGTTTCTTTTCGCGATCTGGGAATAATTTGAAAGGTTTAACCTTTCTTTCCCATCATGTTGTGGTTCAAACAATCAACGGCAACACAGCTCCATGGCACTTTTACACAAAGTATCTAAATTCTCAGAAAAATTCAGTGACTTTGTAAGCAAAGCTCAGTGAGTTTTCGAACGAACGAAAGTTTGTTTTCAACAAGTGCTCATTACTAGGGGCGGTTGCTAGGAATTACCAAATCAGTCTATAATTGCTGTAAGAGCTGGCATAAAAAGCATTATTTTTATAAGTCATCATTCATATGAAATAGTATTACATGTCATTCATTCATTAAGTTAATTCTGCTGGCATTGCGAACTCAACAAGTGCTCTGCTAGGCGGTTGCTAGCCAAATCAGTCTATAATTGCTGTAAGAGCTGGCATAAAAAGCATTATTTTTCAGAAATAGTTTCGTTTTTTCAACGATGGTTTGTTTTAAACAAGTGCTCGTTGCTAGGGGCGGTTGCTAGGAATTACTAAATCAGTCTATAATTGCTGTAAGAGCTGGCATGCATTATTTTTAAGTCATCATTCATATGAAATAGTTTTCGAACGAACGAGGGTTTGTTTTCAACAAGTGCTCGTTGCTAGGGGCCGTTGCTAGGAATTACCAAATCAGTCTATAATTGCTGTATGTAAGAGCAGGCATAAAAAGCATTATTTTTATGTCATCTTTCACATGAAATTTACTTTTTAAGCATCTTTACAGTCAAAGGTGGAATTTTTACCATAACATCCAACACGAAAAGCAGGAACAATGCTCAAATTGGCCATTTCATGTTTTGCTACTTATGATGTACAAGGAAACCCTAGGCCTTAGTCATAGGGTTCATATGGATTGTGATAAGAGATGACAAATGATATTTTCCAAGTAGTCCTTCCTGAAATAGACAATTAACATCAGTAATTCACAGTACTTCTAATAATTAGCTGACTGAACAATTTTGTTTTTATGACTTCATTTCCTATATCATTTCTCTCTCTCTCTCTCACACCCCACACCCCAACATACAAACACACACACACACACAAACACCCCCCCACACACACACACAACACCCCCCAAACTCACACACTCTTAAAATTCCAAGTAAAAAAATACAACATATCAGGATGCATTCCAAAAGGGCAAGGAAAGTCAAAGCACATGATTCAAGTTAGAACAGTTTTACTGTATAAATGATTTTCAATAGTACAATAATGTATGCATGCAATGGTGATTTGTAGACAATAGCGCCTTCTTACATTACTATAAGTTATGGCAGTTAGCAGTTCATTGAACACACTGGGTTTAACATCAAAAAATAAAACAAAATATCAAAACACAGCCGCACATGGGTCAAATGGAGACCTTTAGGTGATGTTTAACGCAAGCCCTGTAAAAAATAACAGCAGGAAAAGAACCTTCAATGAAAGGCACTTTCTGAGATGTGAACATTCTATTATTGTTACGTACAACATAGATCAAAACTAAACCTGTATATAATAGCAATGAGATACAATGTCAATTACCTTCTCACTACTACTGTGTGAATGAAAAATGCATTCTATTACTAATGTGTTGCATGATCATGCAGCTTCCCTTAAAAAAAGAAAAAAAGAAGAAAAACAAAAATTATATATCCAGGCAAGACCTGTATACAAGCTCTCTGCATGCTCTACCCTGATACTGTCTAGACATGAAAATGTATGTAGTAAATTCTGAATGCTGAGTTTCTTTTCTTAAACAAAAAAATAAATAAATAAAATAATAATAATAATAAATAAATAAAAAATAGAAAAACAGAGTGTATATAAAAAAGGAAGTTGGTGAGAATGACATCAAAGAAGTGTTTGTTTGCATCCATATAAAATATCAGAAAGTATAACAGAAAGCGTACGTTTTCTAGTGATTACAGGAGAGGAATAGCATGAGAAGTGGTGACAAAGAAAAAAGAAAAAAGTTAAGGGTGATACTGTGCTCATTAGAGGTATATATTTCATATGAAAACGATCACAAATCTCCAATAAATTTAACAACCAAGCAGCCTTAAAAGCTGTGCACCAGTAAAAAAAAGTGTCATTTAGGTATTTTCTTTACTTCAGTAAAAGTAATGATAATAATAGTAATAACAATAACAGTAACAATAAAACAGAAATAAAAATATTCATAATAATTAAATAACATCATAAAAATAGTAGTAGTAGTATAGTAGTAGTAATAGCAGTAGTAGTAATGGTAGTAGTAGTAGTAGTCGTAGAAGTAATTGTAGTAGTAGTTGTAGTAGTAGTAGTAGTAGTTGTAGTAGTTGTGGTAGTAGTACAATAGTATAAAATAGTAATATAGTAATAATAAGTAAGAGTGAGAGTGAGAGTGAGAGTGAGAGAGAGAGAAAGAGTAAGAGTAAGAGTAATAATAATAATAATAATAATAATAATAATAATAATAATAATAATAATAATAATAATAATAATAATAATAATAATAACAACAAAAACAATAACCATAATAATAATGATAATAATAACAACAACCACAATGGAACTAATAATTCTCCCAAATACACAAGAACCTTCAAAAACGATGCAAGAAGTTACACAAAGGACACACTTGAGAACTGGTCCACTGGCTGGCAAGGGCATCTATCGGCACATGAAAACACACCAAGGAAAATTACCTGATTCATGAGAAAACACCAACAATGCTGCGAAAATAACTTATGAACCTGCACTGAATCATTTAAGATGTTTAAAAATGAAATTAAATAAAAATTAGGCTATACATAACTCTAAAGCTGCTGATTCACCCTGAAAAAGGGAAGAAAAGAAGAAAAAATAACTAATGATTGAAAAAAAAAAAGGATTTTAATAATAATAATAATTAATAACAATAAAAAAAAAATAACAACAATAATAAAAATACCAATTCAAAATTATTCATATGACTTAAAATTGGGCGGAAGAGGAAACTCAGTGACTGACAGTCGTGAATTCATGCTTTTAATTTCTTTGTCTTTTTCCAGGTTCCCACTACTCAAGCTACTTCAGATACCACTATAGTATGTGTTGCACATGCGAAAAAAAAGAGCAAGGCTTACAAAAAATAATAATGAATTGTAATATTTATAAATAATGAGTACAAAACAACTGCTAACAAGTTTGAGCATACACCAGGAATAAAATGATCGTTCTTCATCCAAGGTAACTTATGTTATGCATTGTTGCCAGTAATGTATGATCCCTCTCCACAGATATCGTTAGATTCTATATCAACTTCTGCTAGTCAAATATGCTTACTTTAATCCATTTTTTCTTCTTTTTTTTTGTGTGTGTTTTTGGGGGTTTTATTTATTTTTTTATTTTTTTGCTTTTTTTTATTTGTTGTTTTTTGCTTGCATAGCTGACTATGCACAGGTGTTAAATCACAAAACACATTGACTGCAATTTATGTACTTAAATGTATATATAGATATATATATATATATATATAAATAGATATAATATATATATAACAGATATATATAGTATATAATATATCATATATTATGATATCTATGGATAAATCTAGTAATAGGAGACCTATAGTATATATATTATATAATGTATGTGTAATATGATTATAGGGATATATATATAACATATATATGGTAGTATATATGAGGTAATATAAGTATAGTATATATACTATAATTATATGATTATATATATATATACTACTTATTATATATATTTATATCAATCAGACTATAGGTATATAATTATACAATTATATCAAACAATAATTACCAATTATTATTATAACATCATATATATATAATATATAGTTTATAATATATATATAGTATATTAAGTTATATATAGTATATATAGCATATATATATATATTACATATCAATCCATATTATATTATATCGAGATATCAATTCATATATATAATATTAGTTATAATATATTATATATAATAATTATTAGGATAGAAAATTATAATTAATTTTATACATTATAATATTGATATATATATAATATATATAATATATTTATAATATATTATAGTTAGTATTATATTATATAATATTAGGATATATTTACTATTATATATATCATATAAATATATTTATCATATACTATAACTATATATATATACTATATATATATATATATTATATATTTATAATATATATTATTAATTAATATATATAGTATGTATTAATATATTACAGATTATAGTATTTATATATGTATAGTATGATTTATATATACATATATAGTTAAATAATTAATATTATAGTATAATATTACATATTATATATCGTATGAGTATATAGACTGATTGATTAACCAGCATATTATTATATATTAATAAATATGTAATATGTATCATACTAATATGATTTAAGTATATGTATAATATAGTATATTATATATATAGTTCAGTATAGTATATGGATATATGAGATGCATATATATATTATATTCACAGTATACTATACAGTAGATATGACGTTCATAAGTATCTATATATAATATATATGCAATTGTATATTATATTAATTTCACATATATAAATAATATACTCAGCTACTACTATTATTAGGTTAGTTAGAAACTATATATATATACTTCATTCTCTAGCGATTTATATAGCTATAAAAATAGTACGTACTATTTAGATATTCACTAAACACTTATATATATAGGTATATAATAAA